ATCTGAGATATATACTTCGACGGAGGGTCCGTCTCTCGGGCTGTGTGAGCTTAGCGTCGACTCTGCCGCGAGCAGGAGTCGGTGGTTGTTCGAGTGTAGATCTGAGAATGGCAGTGTGTGCGGAGGATGTGTGTGTTGGTGCTGATGTGGGATAAATACGAGAGAGATATAGGGTGATGTGGCAGGGGGAGGACAGGGGGGCAGAGGGGGAGAGGGAGGGAAGCGGCGATGGGTGTGTTTTGTTTTTGTTTTTTTCCTTTTTCAGTTTTTTTTATTGGTGTTATTGGTTATTTTTTTTTTTATCGTCTTCGTTTTCGTATTTCGTCGAGTGGTATGGCGGTTAAATTGGTGGTATATTTTTTGAAATTCGTTTTTTATTTTTTTTTCTTGTATTTTCGCTCGTTAAGATGACTTTTAAAAATGGCCTCGGGGTGGTGAACACTAAGGATCGAAGGGGTTTAAAAATTGGCGAACTTTTTCCGCGGGTGACGGCTTGTGCCTGAGGAGTGTGTGTGATGGAGTGAATGTGTGGAGTGCAGTGATGAGTGAGGTGAGCGAGTGAGGCGAGCGAGTGTGTGAGCGCACGCGTGTGTGGTGGCGGCGGCTGTGGTGGCGGCGGTCGCCTTCTCACCGCGATTTACGAGTGGTAATAAATTGAGTTGGCTTCCCTAGACCCCCGATGGCTCCCACGCCCGGCTCACCCCCCTCCCCCTCACCCCCTCCCCCTCTTCTTAGCAAGCAGGCCCCAACCACCCTCTTCGGGAGTCGCCAACCGCTTTTTCCTCAAGCAGACGGACGGATGGATGTAGGGGCGAAGGGAGAGAAAGAGAAAGGGCGAGAGAAATAAAGAAATAGAAAGATGGAGGAAAGAAAAAAAAAGATGGAGGAAAAGAAAAAAAGGGATAGAGAGAAAAAAAAAGGATAGATAGGGAAAGAAAAAGGATTATAGATAGGAAAAGAAAGAAAAAGATAAAAGGAAAAAAAAAGGTCTGAAGGAGGGAAAGGAAAGAAAAGATAGAGAGAGGGGGGAGGATAGAAAGAAAAAGTGAGAAGGAAGAGAGGGGTTAGACTCGAGTTCACACTATTTCAAGAGATACAACTTCCTTACATTTTTTGACTTGTCACCACCAAATAATTATTTTTTTCTCTCCTCGAAAAGGTTGCATCACCCATCTGGGTCTGCGTAGACATATCTCATCGCTGTAACCGAAAAATTCTAATAATTTTCCTTTCTCTCTCTTCCTTTCTTTCTTTCTCTCTCTCTCTTTCTTTCTTTCTCTCTTCTTTCTGCTCTCTCTCTCTCTCTCTCATCTCTGCGTCTCTCTCTCTCTCTCTCTTCTCTTCCTCTCTCTCTCTCTCTCTCTCTCTCTCTCTCTCTCTCTCTCTCTCTCTCTTCTCTCTTTCTCTCCTTTCTTTTCTCTCTTTCTTCTTTCTTTCTTTCTTCTTTCTTTTCTCTCTCTCTCTCTCTCTCTCTCTCTCTCTCTCTTCTCTCTCTCTCTCCTCTCCTTCCCTCTCTTCTTCTCATCTCTCTCTCTCTCTCTCTTCTCTCTCTCGGCGTTTTTTTTTTTTCATGCTAGCTTATGTGGCCTTCGCATCTGGCTTTAATGTTTAAAAAGAATGTCGATTTCGAGAGAAAGGCCGGTGTGTAAGCCGAAGGAGACGTTCTGTTCTCGAAATGGGAACGGGTTTGTGCCCATTTTTGCCGCGTTCGTCTGTGTGGTGCGATCTCTCTCTCCTTCTCTCGTCTCTTTCTCTTTCTTGGTTTCCTCCCCATCCTCATTCGTTTCTTTCCGCCCTTCGTCTCTCTCTCTCTCTCTCTCTCTCTCTCTCTCTCTCTCTCTCTCTCTCTCTCTCTCTCCTCTCTCTCTCTCTCTCTTCTCCTCCTCTCTCCTCCCTCCCTCCCTCCCTCCCTCTCCTCCTCCCTCTCCCCCCTCTCCTCCCTCTCTACCTCCTCTCCTCTCTCCCTCCCTCTCTCCCCCTCTCCCTCTCCCCTCTCCCTCCCTCTCCCTCTCCCTCCTTTCCCTTCTAACTCTCCACCTCCCCCTTCCCATCTTTCTCTTCTCCTTTTCTCTCCTCTCCCTCCCCACTTCCCTTTCCTCCTGGAGGCCCTCGACCCTCTCCCAGCTCCTCCTCCAGCGCTCGGCTCAGTCCTCAATCCTCCTCCATCTCATACCTCTCGAGTAGTAAGTTCCTCCTGTAAGAGTCGTGGCCTCGCCCTGGCAAGTGAAACTCAAACCGGCTTAATCTACGAGTTATGATGTGCCCTCACCCCCCCACCCCCACCCCGCTCTCCCTACCCCTCTCCTCCCGCTCTCCCCTCTCTCTTCTCTCTTCTCTTTTCTGGTTTATTCTGTCTCTTCTCTGTCTTCTCCTCTCTATTCTGCTTTCTCTTCTCTTTCTCTCCTATTCTTCTCCTCTTTTTCCTTTTCCCCTTTGTTCTATAAGTCGGTCACTCTCCCTTCCTCCCTTCGTCTTTTTTTTACCTCAAACTCCCCTTCTTCTCCTTCCATCCCCCTCCTCCCACCTACCTTCTACCTCCCTCCTTATTTCCCCCCATCCTCCCTTCCTTCCCTAACTTCTCCCATCCTCCCTTCCTCCCTCCTCCCTCCTCCCATCCTTCCCTCCTCCTCCCTCCTTCTCTCCTCCTCCCATCCATCCCTCCTTCTCCCTCCTCCCCTTTCCTTTCCTCCCTCCTTCCCTCCTTCTCTCCTCCCTCCCTGACCATGATGCCGACCCTCGCAAGCCATCGTGGCACTCCAGCCCGGGCACGAGTTAAGGCAGTCGTGAAGTGTTTGCTTTGTTTATGCATTACGTCGAGGTGAGTATTTAAGTGAGAATTTCTGAGAGGGAGAGAGAGGGAGGGAGAGAGAGAGAGGGAGGAGGGAGGGAGGGAGGGAGGGAGGGGAGGAGGGAGGGAGGGAGAGGAGGGAGGGAGGGAGGAGGGAGGGAAGAGGGAGGAGGGAGGGAGGGGAGGGAGGGAAGGAGAAAGATCATCAATGTGTGTTGGGGTCATTCGGTCTTTCGTAGAGTTGAAGAAAATGGAGGATGGAGGAGGGAGAAGGAGAGAGAGAAAGGTTGAAAGAGGAGAGGAGGATAAAAGGAGGGAGGGGGAGAGAGAGAAAAGGGGATGAAAAGATGGAGAGAAGAGACAGAGAGAATGAAAGAAAGAAAAGAAAAATAGATATGTCTAAACTTTACACCGGTTCCTCCAAACATCATATCCCTCTTTGATAAAACTTCATAATAATTGTCCTCTTGGGTAATTCGGGAGAGAGAAGAAAAAAAAATGTCACATGTCTCCACGTTTTGAGGGAGATAAGGCTTATCAAGGGGGCATGATCATCACTTTTCCACAGACATGATGTTTACCGCCGCGAGATACCGTATCAGCTGCATGAGAAAAAGGAGGCTGAAAAAAGGGGAGCTTGATGTGAATGAAGACTGGCTCATGTGGTGTTGTTTTTATCACCGGTCTGTTTTTTTTTTTTTTTTTTTCGTTTTTTAATTATTCGTAATATTGTCTATTTTTTTTTGTCTCTCGTTCTTGTTCGTCAAAACATTGTGTGGTCAGCGTCATCGTCATTGGAACCGATAACAAATATTAATTTTAGTATCATTGTTATTATTATTATTGATATTATTTTATTGTTATTGTCATTATTATTGTTATTGTCGTTATTTATTATTGCTATTTTTTATTATTATTATTGTTTTTTATTATTATTATTTATTTCTGTAAGCCCCCCCCCCCCCAGCGCGTACGGCCCCCCGACGCGGCCCCGAGGCCTTGCGGTCGCCTCGTCAAGATAAAAAATGGCTTCGGTACGAAACTATTAAGTTGATTCCGTCGGTTCTGGGCGCAGGCCGACACAGCGCCTTCGGGCACCGCCGGGCCGCGCCGAAAAGCGGGTGCCGCTCGGGTGTCCGGTCGGCTCCTCCGCGGCTGTTCGCTCTTCCGTCGGCTGTTCGCTCTTCCTCGGCTGTTTCCGTCGGCTGTTTGCTCTTCGTCGGCTGTTGCTCTTTCCGTCGGCTGTCGGGCTTCGTTCGTCGCTTCGAGGAGTTTGTTGGTATCCTCCGCACGGCCTTTTTTGTCCTCGTCTCTCTTCTCCCTTTCGGCTCCTTTCTCGACGCCCTTCCTCCTCTCCCTCCCTCCCTCGGGTCTTCTTCGCCGACCATCCCTTTGTCATTCCCCGCTTTCCCCCCCTTTTCCTCCTCGTATGTCTTCTGTCGAGGCTCGTTCTTCTTTTTCCTCCTTTTCCCCTCTTCCCGTCTTCGCTCGTCTTCTTTCTCCCTTTGCCTTCACTTTTCCTCTCGAATCTCTTGTCTCTCTCTCTCCCCTCTCCACGTAGCCTTATGAGTCTCTCTCTCTTCTTCTCTTCTCTCTCTCTCTCTCTCTCTCTCTCTCTCTCTCTCTCTCTCTCTCTCTCTCTCTCTCTCTCTCTCTCTCTCTCTCTCTCTCTCTTCTTTTCTCTTCTCTTCTCTTCTCTTCCCTCCCTTCTCCCTTTCCTTCCTCCCCCTCTTCCCCCTCTCCCTTCCCCTTCCTTTCCCTCCTTCCTTCCCCTCCCTTCCCCTTTCCTTTCCCCTCCCCCTCCCTCCCCCCCCCTCCTTCCCTCCCCCCTCTCCCTTCCTCCCCACTCCTTCCCCCTCCCCGGGCGCGAGTTGCGGTTCCCCGATCCCTCTTTCGGTCGATTGTTTATTTGTCGTCCGTTGCCTCGTGCATTGTTGCCAAGTAATTAGCCGGGTTATGACGGCGTGCACGGCGACTGCGGGCGGGGCGGCGGCGGCGGCGGCGGCTTGCGGGTAGGAGGTCAATGGAACGTTGTGCGCGGATCGAGTTCCTTTCCTTCCGGTTCTGTCGGCGGAGGAGCAGCAGCCCGGCGTTTTCGGCGATGACGTCACCGCGGCGCTCTCGGTCGTGCTTGCCGCTCTCGTGTTTCTTGGTCTCGTTCTTGCGATCTCGCTCTTTGTCTCTGTTTTCTGGTTCTGTTTCTCGTTTTTTT